GCTTTGGTAGGAGGGTCAGGTCTACAGTCATTTGCCTTTATCCCTCCCCTTCCAGAGGTGCTGTCCTTCCTTTATCATCCCACATCCATGTTAGAGACATCTGAGAGAGCCTGGTAGACAAAGAGACTGAGAATCAGGGATGAGACAGGGTCTTTCTAAGTGCTTGACACCTCCTCCTGTTTGGAGGTGATAAAAGCCTCTTTCAAGGGACTGGAGTGATAGTTCAGCAGTTAAGAGTGCGGATGCTCTTGTAGAGGACTCTGGTTAAATTCCCAGCACCCACATGGCACCTAACAACTGTATGTAACTTCAGTTCCAGGGGCTCTGACGCTGCCTTCTTACCTCTGTGGGCATCGCACAACAGAGGTGCACTTATACACAAGCAGCCAATACGTTTATACAGATAAAATAAAAGCATCTTTCACACATTTTTTTTCAAGGCAGAAAAGAGTCCTGCTTGGGGGAAGAGTGGAGTTAGCAATACTCTCCAGAAACCCCTGAAAGTGGGGACACAAGACAAAGAAATGAAAGGTCACCACTCAGATCAGCTTATACCTGGTACATTTTATTGGACCTGACTTCTTTCATGTAGGCTACCCAGTCTAACAAAATATAAGCTGTCTCTTCTAAGAGCATTTCCATTGGGGGTTATTGTTTAAAGCCAAGTGACATCCAGGCTGCAGCCCTGTCTGCCATTGACATTTCTTCTTCCCCAGCTGTCTTTGAGAGGCTGTTGGTGGCCTCTTGCAGTGGGATGTTGCTACTGCCATTCCTGGAACATGAAGGCTTTGGAGCATCATTCCCACGTGTCTCTCTCTGCAGCATGGGTGGTGACTGGAGGCTTAGTCCAGGTCTGAGAAGCCCTGCTCAGCTCTTGGGGCCACAGAGCAGCATCAGGGCCCTACAGTCAGGGGACAGCCCAGGTTCCAAATCCAGGTGCTTCTAGACATCAGTGTCAAGACAAGCGATAGCCAGAGTCCCCACATCCTGTTAAAAGTTGTCATAGTGGGTCTTATCTTTGGCTATTTGCTGAATCTCCCAATGAACTTTGAAATAAATATCAGTACTTATGTTCTATCTATCCCTCGGGGTCCCTCTTAGAAGGAGGCCCAGTTGCTAGGACTCTTCAGAACTCTCCACATGATGCTGTCATGTTCCCAGGGATGAGAATACTCAAGTACAGGCACCGTAGGCTGACTGTTTTAATGAAGTCTAGACCAGTCCATTCAGTTTCTACAGGACCTGTAGTGTGGTAGACACTGGAAAATGCAGGAAGGACAGTTCTGATCCTGTTTCAAAATAACACAGGGGCAAGCATTGGACTACAGAGAAAGACAGGGGGAGAAACAGGGCTGGCAAGTACTTTGGGGTAAGATTGTGTGTGGTGGACATAAATAGCATATAAATTCTTTTGCCTCAAATCTATGGGACAGGATATCAGTATCTTATCACTGGGCCTGTGCAGATAAGGTAAATGTTAGAGACATCTGAGAGTGCCCATAGACTGAGAATCAGGGAAGGGACACTTTCTAAGTGCTTGACACCAAGCTGAGAGTGGTGGTTCCCACCCACATGCCTGTCCTGGCCATGTGTCTGCTTGGAGGCGAGGTCCCAAGAGGGCCAGGAGCTTCCAGGTGGAATTCAGCTGATCTTTTTATCTAGCCCACCAGCACTGCCCTTTTCTTACCCCTGTGGATGAAAAGCAGAATGTGGGACCGTCTAGAAAAGATGTAGATAAAGGGGGCCTCTCTAGAGATGGCTTAGTGGTTAAGAGCACTCCACTGGCTGATTTTGCAGAAGACCTGGGTTCAGTTCCCAGCAGCCTAATGGCAGCTAACAGCTGTCAGTAATTCCAGTTCCAGGGATCTGACATCCCCTTCTGGTTTCCACAGGCATTGTATGACATGGGTACACTTATATGTGGGCAATAAATGAATAAAAAAAAATTAATGTAGAGAGAACATTTCCTGAAGCTAGGTGATGCTTCTATGTATGTCTGTGAAGGATTTCTCACCAATATGAGCTCTCCAGCTCTAAAAACTCATGTTAGAGCTGACTACCCATTTTCAACACTAGATCTTATGAGTGCAACACTACATGGGCGAGAAAACTGGCTTTGAAAATACTCAACACAGGGGCTGACTGTGGCCTCCCACAGCCACAGTGCTTCCAGAAGAGTCCAACCCTTTGCTAAAGATGGGTGTGTTCTGCAGGGACCACAGAGATCCTTTGTCCCATGTGCATGACCTGCCACTTCCTTTGAACCATGCAAAATTTTGCTGATTATCACTAGTATTCTGCACATTAGCGTCTTTCTGCACAGCTGCAGGCAGAGCTCTGTACAGCCCACCACCAACATTTCTTCAGACTGGTCAAAGTATCTGGGTGAGCAAATTCAAGTGTTCACTTCAAAGGAGAGGGAAGGAAGCTAGGCTCTCCTGCAGGTCATGCGGTGCCACTCTGAGAGTTTTATTTGGGCAGTAAAACTTGGGAGTTGTTCTTGGCAAAGGTTCTAATGAAATGGAAACCTTGAAATCTGCTTAGAGCTGGAAGTATGGTCTCACCCTGTGTTATGGGGACTGAGGATTGTAGGCAATGTGAGGAGTCGGTCTGATTTACTTCCCAAGCAGTGTAGAACTGGTCTTCTAGTACATCTATCTAATTTGGCTTGAGGAAGATGGGCGTGGGCCTTGAGATGCGAGGAGCTGCATTGCTGTATGGAAAATGGTACTTCTTTCAGCAGTATCTGTTGTAATTTGGGGACTTGGTTAAAAAGGCACACTGCTGAATCCCAGTCAAGACCTCCAGAATTTATATATATTATATAATACATATTGTAATATATGTAATG